TCTGCCCTGGGCCCGGGGAGGCAGCGGGGGCAGCGGGGACAGCCACCACGGGGGAGCCAGCTACGTCCCCGAGAGGACCTCCTCCCTGCAGCGGCAGAGGTGAGCAGGGGCTGGTGGTGGGCGAGGAAGCCAGAGGGGGCCCACGCTGTGGGTACCCGAGTCCACCTTCCCCACAGCTGTGTTCCTTTAAGATCCCCGGTGGTGGTAGAAGGAAATCAGAAGCCGGGCTGGCTCGGTGGAGTTTGCCCTGAAAGAAGCATGCTGTCACCGGTGCTTTAAACTCCCCTGTATCTCTGTAGTAGCTTCTGTGGTCTCCTCCCGTCACCATGACAACCCACACGCTTATTCACGAACCCAAAGAGTTAGTGACAAGGGAGATGGGAGCACAACTTGCAGATGTCGTGTGTCCTTCGCGGGTTGTCAGTGCGGAAGATCCCTGAAAATCTGCAAGTCCCTGGAGCCCTCGGGGCTCAAGACAAGATGCTTGAGGCCACAGTGGTTCCGTGTGTGGTCCTGGAGCCAGCCCTGCACTTTTCTAACTGGGTGACCGTAGGCTAAGGAGTCACCTCTCTGTGGACGGGGACAGCATAGCACCCCCCTGAAAGGCCTTTAGAGGCCTTTGTTGTAAGATGAGATGGAGGAGGGGCGGGGCCTCTTACTGAAACCCAGCAAGTATAATGGGGAAATACCCATGGTGCCTACGGTTTCCAAAACAGCTAGCCAGACAGGATGGCCACAAAGTTCAAGTTCATTTCAGTCTTAGGGAAAGTAGAGTCGCATTCCTGATTTAGACAACCGGAGAATGAAGAGAAGTTTTTGGGTTTTTTAAAAAAATATATTTTAGTGATTTTTTACAGAGAGGAAGGGAGAGGGATAGAGAGTTAGAAACATCGATGAGAGAGAAACATCCATCAGCTGCCTCCTGCACACCCCCAACTGGGGATGTGCCCGCAACCAAGGTACATGCCCTTGACCGGAATCGAACCTGGGACCCTTCAGTCCGAAGGCCGATGCTCTATCCACTGAGCCAAACTGGTCAGGGCTGTGTTTTTGTGTGTGTGTGTGTGTTTTTTAAATTCCCCGTCCATCTGTGGAGCTCACTCTAATTGTTTGAAGGTCTGATGTCCTTTGAACGTGGCTTTATCGGGCCATTGAGTATTCTTAAGGATTCTAGATCGAGAAAAGGAAGCTTAGTGTAGGTGACAGCTGAACCAATTATTTACCACCTACTGGGTGCTGGGTGCCCTTATGGGGAAAAGGGGGCCCCCTAGTGGACAGGACAGGCAAAGTGTTGCCCAAAGACAGAGCTAGAGGCCAGACTGCAAAATAATTGGAATCATCCCAGGGAGGAAAAAAAAATGCAATAAGGGGATGGTTAGAGAAGGTCCCTCAAGAGCGGGAGGAGTAGAGACTGGAGGAGGGAGGGGGGAGCAAACCCCAGAGCTACTTGGGGGAACAGCGAGCTAGGCAGAGGGAACAGCCAGTTCAAAGACCTTGAGGCTGGACTGTTCTGGAAGGAGCTAAAGGGATGAGGGGAACCTTTTTCTCCCCTCGTTTCTTCTCTCTTTCATCTCCCTCTCCTCATCTCTCTCTCTCTCTCTCTCTGTTCCCTGTCCCCTTCCATCTCTCTCTCCCCTGAACGCTCACCCTCTCTTTGTTCCTCTCCCACCGTCTCCCTGTCTTCCACTCTGCTGTGACTGGCCATAACCCTAAAAGGCAGTATAGAATAGTGGTTAAGAGCTCAGACTTCGGTGCCATCTAACCGGGCTCTGCCACTTCCTGGCTGTGTGTCCTTAGGCAAGTTACTTAACCTCTCTGTGCTGATGACAATAATAGTAACCCGCATCAGGGCTGTCGTGGGGATTAAATTGAGATGCGATATGTAAAGCACTTAGAACAATGCCTGGCACACATGAGCATCAGTAAGTGGTGGAGATGATTATTATTATCACTTAATGTCTCTTTTTCTTTCATCTCTCTTGACTGTCACCCTCTCCCTGTCCTCTCATTTTTCTCTCCCTTCACTTCTGTCCTGACATCCATCTTTCCCCCGGCCCTCGCTCCTTCTATCTCTTCCCACCTCTCTTCTCCATCTCTTTACCCCGCCCCTATGTCTTTCTTCCTCTCTCCTTACATCTTGACCTCTTCCTCTTTCTCACCTGCCCTTA